CTGCTAGATATCCAGAGCCGTCGCACGACTCAACCTTGATGTCATGAGTAGAGCCAATAATAGCAACGCATGGGTTGAGGACACCAGGTAAATCTTAGTTTTTCTTTTTGCATTTTTTTCTTCAGAGCAGATCGTCATGCAAAAAGTGGCAAGCACTAGTTTCTGTCTGACGTTCATATTCGTGTGTTGTGTTCTCTTCTGCACTGGGTATTGGCACACGTGCTGTTTCGAGTCATTTCTGGTTCGTTATATTGCTGTTTTTTCGTGGCAAAATTTGGTTTGTAGACAAGATGGAATTGTTGGGTGACAGAGTTGTCAACTCGTTATTTATTTGATTATTTTCAGGTTTTAGACAGTACCATAGTACTGAAACAGCTCTCATTAGAGTCAAAAATGATTTGTTCTTATCACCCGATTTTGGTTGTATCTCTATGTAGTGCGTTATCAACTTGTGTAGTGAGTTACCTCCTGTTGTGGATCAATCATGTTGTGTTGTGTGAACAGCTAAACAACTTGAACACTCCTGATTTCACTGAGAGCAGGTCATGTAGTATTAACTGCACAGTTCAGCCCGACGTTTTAAAATCATGTAGTGTGAACAAGGCATTAAATGCATAAAGGGAGTCAGCCCGATTTTGATTTGTATAGGCTGTCCCTTATTGTGAAATCATACACAAACACGTCACATAGGCCGTGTGTCCACCAAAGCGTTTTTTCACGCGCCTGGCGTATGTTTTCAATGGTAGCGCCACGTTTTTTAAACGCCATGAGCATACCGAGGCGCTGAGCGTTCTTTTTTCACGCTGAAGCGCCCGGCGTTTTTACTGGTCGCTGGGAGTTGGAAAATGTTCAACTTTGGATAAAACGCAGCGCTCATCACTGTCACTTTTTACCCAGCCATCCAATCACAGTGGAGGAGGGGCAGGACTAATACCACACCGACCAACATTCAAACTGCTGCGGATATTCTGTATCATAGCAACGAAACGTCTCAATGGAAAAAACGCTGCGCTGCCAAAACGCTCTCAAGCGCCCAAATGCAAGCCGTCTTCAGCAGAGCGTCTAGCGTTTTCAGCTGGCTAAAAAAGCTTTGGTGGACACATGGCCATAGGCTAGATCCATTGATATTATAGCCCAGTGGCTGCAACCCTACACGACACAATTCACCAACACACACAAAAACAAAAATCTAGTTGTTTGTTGAAAGGAAGGGCTGTGCGGTTCTGCTTTATACAAAATCAATTGCTTGTTTTTATTTTATTTCTTTTCAAACCTTAAGAAGCAACATTGAAGGCTCCGGTCACAGTGTTTAGTGTGAAAGCTTATGTAATTGCCGCCGGCTCGCTGTAGCGTGTGCAATGGCTCAAAAACTCATGAATGTCCAAATGGTTTGGGTTTCAATTAGGGGTTAAGTTAACAGTGTAACAACAAATTTCACCAACACTGGCAAAATGAGTCAGATTGTCAGAATGCGCACAGTCTATTAACGATCTACAGGCACAACAAGTGAAAAATGTCAATGAATTTGATGAACACTAAATTGAGATTGTTTGCACGTCTAACGACCCCAATGCTCCAAACAGCAATTAAACATCTAAAAAGTATCTATTTGTGTGTTTTCTGAAGAGTAACTGTCCTTTGTCCATGTAAAATGCCGTTTTTCTCTGCTCACTTCCCCTCAGCACAAGTTTGGCATCGTTTTAAAAAGCACAGCATTTTACCTTTGTGAATATTCAAAGCGAATTGCAGTTGGCATGAGTCTGAATCAATGAAGTGTGATTTTCAAACTCATGTTGATTCAAACTCACTGATTTCAAACTCATGCTGATGTAAACAAAACGATCTTAAATCGCACTGACCAACGCATCTAAAGCGTGAGCACAACGACAGTCCGCGATCCCAGTCTACACGTACGGAATTACATTAATTCAAATATGATAAATATACTATATACCAAGTATGAGTATTCACACAAACAGACTAACTCATTTTGAAAATTTGCCCATTGTGACTAAATTTAGCCAGCATGGGTTATAAATGTTAATTAAATACATAAATAAGTACGTAATTTGTAACTGCTAAGCACCTACATGTAAACGTTTAATAAGTATAATGTATAGTTCAATAAGGTCACCTAATACAAAGTGTGACCATATATTGCTTTTAGCGCTAAACAAAACAGTTTGTCAAGTGAAAATTAAACTTTCCCCCATAATCTCCCATCCTATTTAAGTACTGATTTTCAGCATATAGGACATCCTGCTGCATGAACACTTCATATGGTCATGGGGCAAACGGCTTTACACCCACCTGGCAGATGATGTCCCTGTTGGAGGAGCGGACAATCATCCTATACTTGGGTGTGTTGTACTTGTTCTTGTCTTGAATAACCAGGCGCTTTCGGGCAAAGTAATCAGTTTTTCCCTCTGAAAAGCAAAAGGAGAATACAATGACAATCAGACCCGTCTGCATGATTTTATAACTATTCTAAGTTCTGCATTTACCTCTCCTTCTCCTGAACTTCACCTGGTACCTCTTGAAGTAGGCCTTGTTCTTCACTACTTTAACAAATCCCTAAAGGACAACAAAGCATTTTTAGAGCCAATCACATCAGAGAATCAACCAGCAGACGCAAACAAATCGAAATGTCTACTACAATGAAAACTGAAGTGATAGGACTACAAAAGGGTGAAAGGCCTGCAACAACATTCAGGCATTAGCCTACATGCCAACATTCAACACCTCGGGAACGAGATTAGGTGTTTAATAATATATTAATTTTATGTTTTATGAGAGCGTGTGAGGTTGCGGAAAAACATTAGCAATATTGTCAATATTCACTACAGTGTGCAGCTCTCTCTGAAACTCATGTGGGAAAGGGTTGCAATCATTCAGAAGGCCACGTTTGAACTCGTCTATCCGACAAAATCTCATGCCATCCTTTTATTAACTGTCATCACACTGTAACGTAAACGCACCACACAGACCATTAACCTTTACGGGACACAATAACAGAAGTATTTCGGCGCGTACTGACCATTTTGTAGACTTTTCAGTCTCCTAAGCCGGAGCCTGGAGTCAAACTAGGGAGTTTTGACTCCGCTGCACTGGAAAAGAAAGAATGATTTGCGCATGCTCGGTAAATACCATCGACAGCGGGGCAAAACAGTACTGTGAGGAGGAAAGCACAGCGACACCTGCTCTTTTGGATGTATGAAGGCGAATATGAGCTAAAATAAATTTGTAGGACAATGCTTATCAACAAATGATAATAAATAATGTCCATCTCAAATCGATTTGTTCCAAGAAATAGGCCTACTGGCTTATATGAAGATGTCTACTAGCTGTTATGCTGTAGGCCTACTGTGTTTTATTTTTAGATATTTAATCGTTTTACCTTTAGACAGTCAATTAAACTGTGAAAAAAGGCCTACAAAATATGAATTATCGGATGTTTAACATATTTATGATCTAAAGGAACAGGATAGTCAAATAAATATAATCCTTTTCAATACATTTTTTGTTTATTTGTTTGTTTATTTGTTTTACTTCATGTTTTTGTTGGAATAGAAGATGTTTAATGACATTTTTTGTAATATTTATTTGTATCAATTGATGTTTATTTTGTAAAATTAGATTTATTGTTAATAATTTGGGTGTAGAACTTTTTTCTTATTTTTTCTGATTATTTGCAACAGGTTGCAACAATTGTGAAAATTATCCACTAGATTAGAAAATTGAAATTAAGCTGTTTAGCAAATAATTGTGGAAAAGTGTATTATTCATAGAAAATTATTTGTGTTGATATTATTATTCATATTATTTAACAATATTCATACATATTTTAAAATATATATATTATTTAGCCTAACTATAATTTCCAAATCTCAGCACAAAGTGCTATTCCAGTAATAGAGAATTTCAGATGAGATAGAAGTGACATTGTGATGGAACTTTCTAAACAGTGGTCACAATAAATCTGGAGCAATTATTCTTCTATAATTTTAACAGAATTTCCCTTAATATGTTTTCTTTTTGGAAATGCAGACAAAACTGTTTTGACAGTTTGACTTTTAGACACACCTTTAAAAAGAAGACATTATCCTTATTACATGGAGAATCTGATTCTCTTTTTGTGTCTTAAAATAGGTTCCACGTATAAAGCAGTTCGAATAGGCTGATTGATGCGTCAGTGATGCATTGTTGGAGAGCGAAAGGTGTGTCCTATACATCAGAAAGCAATGAGACTCACGTAAGCAAAACCAAGGAAAACCAGAAAAGTTAGTTCCAGTGTTAGTTGCTACTAGCTGCTATCTGATATGTCTGTCTTAACTTCTAAATTAAATCTATATTTTACAGATGACCTAGCCATCTAATGGTAAGTTGTTTATTTATTTATCTGGCCTATTCTTTTCACAAGAGCAGTCTGTTTTAATAAACTGTGAAAAAGTATGGACAATAACATATAATTTAAAATATTGAGAGATTCTGATTGCAGTGATGAAATACATTGAAACATTGCAACTGCTAAATTAAAAAAGAAATAGGCTAAGATTGAACTGATCTGAGTTCATTCTGTTGTGATGACTTACTACTACTTATGGCAGTGTAGGCTAATTGTGAGGAACAAACAGGCATAGACTCATTATGTAAATAAATAACTACATTTTCTTTATTTTGTCTTCAAAGATTGCCTTTTGATTATGAAATAACTACATTTTCTTCATTATGTCTTCAAAGATTGCATTTTGATTATGAATTACATCTTAATCACTGAAGATGCACAATTAAGATCACTAGTAAAACGTAGAGGTGGACCTTGAAATTGTTAAGTGTGGCTGCTTTTAATAGTGTAGGCCTACTTTTCTCATGTATTATATTAATGTTGTCGGTACTCGCGTGTTTACATGTAGCCTGCCTACTGTTTGCAGCAGAGGGTGGTAGAGAGATGATTTAGCCCTGCAGGCAGCGCATGTGTGCACATGCGCAGTTGTGTCCAGCGCAGCCGCAGCGCATAGCCCGTCTTCTGATGGCTTGAGTGACTGCTAGAGGAGCTGCGGCAACTGCCTTGCTGTCTGCGCACACACCACGGACCTTTATACATTCAGCCTCTCTATGGACTGGACTGGAGGACTGTTGAAATCCTCCTCTAGTGTGAAAACTGAGCGTTGACGACGGGCTTGAACCCTCGGTGTGCGCAAGGTTATGCAACTTTACCTCGCTCCATGGAAAGTTAATATTTAGCTAAAACCCCTGGAATTGAAAAAGACTTCAAGGTAAACAGTTTGAGACGGGTTTTAATATAGTATGTGTGTGTGTCTGTTGCAGTAGGGAGGTGAATGCCGACCAACGTCCGTTGTTTGTTGTGGTTGTTTATATAGTTGTCCATTTAAGTTAGTTATTCAGGGTCAATTCATCTTGCTCCTTGTCAGCACAGCTTAAATACTAAAATAAGTTTTAACAGTTGTCATTTTTGAGACCCTCAAAACACTTCCAGCATTACAGTTTGAGATCTGGACTGTCCGTTAGCCACCACTGCTAACTCCTTTAGCCAGAGTCTCAGACATATCAATAAGACTCAGCTTAACACTGGTCAGAACGTATGCATAATGTATCATATTACTCTAGTCTATAGTTTATATTGATGTAATCTGTCATATGTTGGCAATTTATCTTTGTTATAATTGGATTTACTCTAAATTATGCGCGCGTGTGTTTTACGACTGATGTTATGAGCTGGGTTGTTTGCCAAGAGAGAAATGCCATTGGATTGGCTGTTATTTTTTTAGCGTTATTATTTTGAGTTTTGAATAATAGGTCCACATTTGTGGTCAGAGGTTAAAGCACGTGTATGTGGTCACAACACTGTCACGGATAACAGTGCCACGTTTAGTCTAGGGTGGGGTGTCGATTGTGTGATCACATTAAAAAGAAACAAACACTTTAGTCCATTGTGTTTTTATACTGTAACACAAAGCAAGCATCAATGATTCTGATGATCTGATCATCGTGGGAGTATTTCTATTGCATTCAAAATAACATGTTGCCAAGCCATGATATTTGCCAAATATATGTTTTTTTGGTTGTATAGCATTTTTGATGGCATTTTTACTTAAGTTATAATCTGTTGTGCTATTAAACATCACCATTTAAGTCCATTTTGACCTGATAGTTTTGTTAATGAAATGTAAACATATGGGCCATACAGATCCGTGCGATTAGTTGATCAATGGCTTTAGGAAAACTGCCAGCTACTTTGATGTTTTTCTCTCTTCCATTTACCCTTTGTGTTAACATTTTCAAGAGTGATGAGATTTTCAGTCCAGGAAGTCTGTACTGGAGAAAAAAATACACTTTCTTCCAGTTCAGATGCTTACCTCTCACCTTCATCTTCTGACCCCATCAAGGTCTCTAGAACCACGGGTGAAACGTGAACCACTGGATCTTTAACTGTGGCTTTGCCGTGATTACAGCTGATCCCCCTCTGATCGCTGCTGATCCACTTTAGTTGTGAGCCCATCCTTCTTATTCTGTGCACACAAACTGCACTGTTATGTGCTGTTGCAGCTCTTCATAGGAACATGCAGATTCAAGAATTTGACTGTACTGTGACCTGAGGTATGTTTGTTAGTCATATGATAAGATTTTCTTGATTTGTCTGGCTGATAATCTTAAAACTGAAAACGTAATTCTTCTGACAGTCTTCTAGAACAGAGCTTGTGTCTGTTTTTGTTGGAAAGCTTGCTAATGCTTGATGTGTAATCTTTGAGGGAAGATGTCTTAGTGGTGGCTTGTGGGTGTCCGTTAATGTCGCTTGAGATTATAACTGAATTCATGCGACCAAATAGCTTGCCTCTACTTGCCTTCTAGAACTTTTCTTGTCTGGTATGGGATTGTGTTTTGCTTAGCTTTGATGTAATATTTTCCCTGTACAAATACTGGGATCATTCATTGTTCTTATTCACACGACCCAGCCATGGTGGCGCATTGCTCCATCTCACTTCATACAATTTGTCACGTTGAATAAAAGAAGATGCTCTAAGTGGCCTTGTCTAAACAAACATGCTCTTTACTCCCTCTCTTTCTCTGTCCTTCCTTTCTCACCCCTTTACAGACATACACACTCAGACAAACATCTTGCTTCCATTTGGCCTGGACAAAAGTTTGCTTTGTAAACAGGCATTATTGCATTTACCTTTTCAGGAGTATCTTGTAACTTAGACTGCACGACTGAGGGAATTTCTAGCCTTATATGACTGAGTCAGGCAGTAGTGCACACACGTAAGCAAACCAGCAGATTCTCTTAAAGCAAAGTGCTGACTGGTGAAAGAAAGCGGAAAAATATAATGCAATCAAAATAAATCTGCTTAGTTTAAGGTATCCTGAAGCCTTGTTTGCAAAGTTCTGCCTTGCTCAGTGAAAGGCCCTTTTTTGGTGTAACAGTGACTCTGCTGTTATGTAGCGTCTTATGCTGGCAAAGACCTTTTTATCATGCGGTATACAGATGTATTGTTGCTGCTCTGTAATCATCCCCTTTGAAAAACAATGTGGAAAACTAGAAGTGCTACCATGATTTACACTTACTATTGCATAAGATCATTAGATAAGATGCCACCGGGGAGATGGCCTTCTGCTGCAGCAGACCCACACCATTAACCTTAGTGTGGTTTAAAGACTTTAAACATTCCAGGGCTCAACATTAAGGATTTGTTTCTACTTGCCCAGTTAAAATTGTTTCTTACCCTGCAGATTTTTTCACTGGCCCCACCACAAAAAAAGCAATACAACACATAAAATAGTCTAGTTTGTGGTTTTTGACCCATAACCTTAAAGCAAAAACCAAGCAAATGTCATAAGTTGACCATATTTGTTCTTATTTTAATACTGACAGTTTACTTGTCTTTATCAATATTTTAAATATGAGTTAGGTTAGTAGTTTTTGGTATCACAAACTTATTAGTCTAGTTTGTGGTTTTTGACCCATAACCTAAAACTAAACTGTCAGTATTAAAATAAGAACAAATATGGTCAACTTATGACATTTGCATGGTTTTTGCTTTCAAAAATATCAAAATGAATAAGTAATAGTCTATTTTCAACCTTAGTTTTGAACCTAGCTGAAAAACGCTTGTTTTTTATGGGGGTCTCACACTGAAGACTTGGAAGTAAACGCCCACTGCTGTGAGTGGATAACAGTTTTGCATTTTTATAATGAGTTTCAACTCACCTGTCGATGCACGTGGCGGAAATTGTTTTGAAAACGTCCTATGTTGTAAAATGGCAACCGGAATGATTCGCCCATACATTTTCGACCCAGAGTCCGTGTGTTTCTCCATTCCTGTCGGATCCAATTTAGACGGCACAGCACCGTTCTTTACTCTTTAATTGGTCTGTAAATCCAGTCAAAACAATCCTCAGTGAAATGAAGCGAACAGATGGAAAATGTTTTACCCTCATCAACTGGAACGTCATTAAAAATAAAGTTTAACCATGCAGTCCTATTGGAATCCAAAAGATGCAGCCAGCGACTGTCTTCTTCCACAACCAGGCACTGCACAATGTTTGGTTTTGCCCGATAGCTCTCTCTGGTTTGTCATCACGAGGTAGGCCTATGTTATTTAGCTATGCGTGTATGTTTAAACCGGCCGTGTTGAACTTGGTGTTGATCTTCTTCTGGGGGGATGGTGTTTTATCCTCTTTGTCGTCATAGTTCCCCACTTTGAAAAACGAGTCGTTTGCTGAGCCTGGTGTCAATAAAAGCTTTTATTGGACTAACAAGGAAGTTATTCAGACAAGAGCAGTGAGTGATTTTTTTTTTCTTTGTCCTTTGTTTTTTTTTTTTTAAACATTAAAACAAAGACAGCAGCAGGAAAATTATCAGGCTACTGTCACTTAAAGAGCTGCACTTTAAGAGTCGCACAGTTGCGTCAACAGTCCTGAACATCGTTTATGATGGCCCTGGAAGCAGAAGACCACCTGGGCCATGAAGTCATTGACTGCATGGAGTTAAAGCTGCACAATTAATATAGGGCTGGAATGATGCCATCCATCCATCCATCCCTCTTCTTCCGCTTATCCAGGGCCGGGCCGCGAGGGCAGCAGTCTAAGCAGAGATGTCCAGACTTCCCTCTCCCTAGACACTTCCTCTAGCTCTTCCGCAGGGACGCCGAGGCGTTCCCAGGCCAGCCGGGAGACATAGTCTCTCCAGCATGTCCTAGGTCTTCCCCGGGGTCTCCTCCCAGTGGGACATGCCCGGAACACCTCCCTGGGGAGGCGTCCAGGAGGAATCCGAAACAGATGCCCGAGCCACCTCAGCTGACCCCTCTCGATGTGGAGGAGCAGCGGCTCTACTCTGAGCTCCTCCCGAGTGACCGAGCTTCTCACCCTATCTCTAAGGGATCGCCCAGCCACCTTGCCGAGAAAGCTCATTTCGGCCGCCTGTATCCGGGATCTTGTCCTTTTGGTCATCCTTGCTCACCATAGGTGAGAGTAGGAATGTAGATTGACCGGTAAATCAAGAGCTTTACCTTACAGCTCAGCTCCTTCTTCACCACAACAGACCGGTACATCGACCGCATTACTGCAGAAGCTGCACCGATCCGTCTGTCAATCTCCCGTTCCATCCTTCCCTCACTCGTGAACAAAACCCCAAGATACTTAAACTCCTCCACTTGAGGAAGGATTTCTCCACCAACCTGAAGTGAGCAAGCCACCCTTTACCGACTGAGGACCATGGCTTCGGATTTGGAGGTGCTGATTTTCATCCCAGCCGCTTCATGCTCTACTGCAAACTGTCCCGGTGCACGCTGAAGGTCCTGGTGTGAAGGGGCCAACACGACAACATCATCCGCAAAAAGCAGAGACGAAATCATGTGGTCCCCAAACCTGACACCCTCCGGCCACTGGCTGCGCCTAGAAATTCCCTCGACAGGAATGATGCGTCAACACAATATTAAATTCATTATGTTGACGCGTCAACATAAAATGAGTCTATTTACGTGCAATGCGTCGATTCGTCATGCTGTTAATACAGATCAAACATACTCTCTCGAACTGGTTACAAAAAATGTAAAGCTATTGTTGGTTATTTAAAAAATCTAATAGATGAACTCACGCCTCGATTGAACTCATTTTTTTACTAACGTGCTATCAGTGTGGGGATTTTTAGTGTAGGTTTTATGGACACAGATTGAAACTCTGGCTATGAATTAGAATGTGGTTGTGACTTCAGCTGTTTGTTCAAACAGCTGAATGAACATATTCAAGCAGCTAATTT